ATGAGAAAGAACATCACCCTGAAAGTCACATAAGACCACACTGGCCTTAGGATGTTCATACTTGGGTTCAAATTCCTGCTTCATCTCTTTTCTTAGTAATTAGGTGAACTGTGGTGTAGTGCCAGTTAATTTTTCCAAGCCTCACATGTGAAATGTGGATAACATATACTTTGCTTGAAGAGTCAGTGCAGGATTTTGAAACTATATAAAGTACCTGGCAGAATGTTTGGCACCTAAGAGTTAGCGACAGCACTATGGAGTTTAAATGTGGTATTTTTTTTAATGTATGTTGTTAAAGGTCCATATCACTAATTAGCAATTTAGAAATCCAAAGTTCTGAAAACTAAAACCTTTTACCTAACTTACATGGTAGCAATTCCTGACTTGACCTGTGTGTAAGGCTCTCGTACACTCTTTATTGTGAAACTCATAAATTTCATTAAATATAAATGAGTTGGGTTACAGTACTACCCCTCCCTAGTAATATTACTTTTATGGCATATGCACACAATTACTTGTTTAGTTTTTGAAAAACTATGAATTCCCAAACACATATGGTCCCCTTGGTTTCAAACAAGGGATGTGGACTTGTAATAAATTATTTGTGCAATCAAGTACAGTAAATGTAAATCTAGCAGAAAGAATGACTTAAGATTCATGCGGTCTAAATCCAGCCTTGCCAATTTAAAGTTACCACTAATAAAACTGCTGAGGGCTGGGGATTTAGCTCAGTGGTTTGGCCACCTGCTGCGCAAGCGCAAGAACCCGAGTTCGATCCCTGGTCCCAAAAAAAACAAAAACAAAAAACTGCTGGACATGGTGGCACATACCTGTAATCCCAGCACTTGGGAGGCTGAGCACTGTGAGTTTGAGGTCAGCCTGAGTATAGTGAAACCCTATTTCAAAAATGAACCAAAAAGCAAAACGACTGCCACCTACAAAATTATCACTGATAAAACTGCAGAAACTTGACTTAATCTCTTAAATTCTGCTCTTTTAATACTTTCAATTTGAAAATATCTCTGTATATTATTTTAATATTTTATCAAGAAAAAGTGTTGCTGAGGGCTGATGATTTAGCTCAGTTTGCAAGCACAAGGTCCTAAATTCAATCCCCAGTACAAAAAAAAAAAAAAAGTGAAAAGTGTTGTTACATTTTGGCCTTTTTCCCTAAAGCATTTTCTATGAAGAGCTGAAAACCTATATATACAGAATGTACTCAGGTAGGGACATGGGTCAGTGGAATGCTTCCCCAGCATGCTCAAGGCCCTGGGTTCCATTCCCTAGTGCTGCCACAAAAAAAGTGCTATTATGAAATAAAAAACACCTGACTACTTTAATACCAAATACCAGGCAGGAAAGAGTGGTACCATGAAAGAATATTAGCTTTGTATTTAACAGATCTGGATTCAAATCTTGGCTCTATTACAGTTCTATTACCTTGCAAAACAGAAACTTTAAGCTTATTTGGTCATTTGTTCTATGGAGTTTTAAAAAAACTAGGTCACAAGTATTTTTAATAAAGATAAGATAAAGTAAAAGCTTCTCATAGTGTCTAAATTTTTTCAATAAATTTTTTAAGCTACTCTGAAAAACATTTTAAACATTAATATTCAGCTTAATTAATGTACACTGAGAAAAGCTGAATACTTTGACTTTCTTATAAACTTAACTCCTCCCATTAATCAGGTTCAGTAAATTATGTGATACCTTTGATGGCATATTTTTGAAAGCAAAGTCTACGCATGGGACTATCTTTTTGGAAAGAAGTGATCACACTTCTTGAGTGTGGGCACACACACACCTGGAAGTAGACATGCAGAGTAAACAGGCTCATGTACAACCACATTTGCTGGAATACTAAACTCAGTGTCTAACAGTGCTTACTTGGTAATGAATTCTAAGCTTCCTTGAATTTTCAAGTTTTCCCTTTAACTGAGGACCTCTTAAAACTAATTTTTGCTAAGAGAAAGAACTATTATGTTTAGAATTCAGATATATCTCAACTAATTCTTCTTTTTTTGGGGGGTACCCGGGACCGAACTCAGGACCTTGCACTTGCGAGGCAGGCGGCAGAGCCACTGAGCTAAAAATCCCCGGACCATATCCCAAGTAATTCTTGAGAAAAGGTAATCTGGAATATTGGGGAAACTATTTCCACTAAAAGTGTAAACAACAATAAAATTTTTATCAACCTGTAAGAGCCTATATGATTTCACATCTAAATTTTGAATGGCAAAGGTTTTTCGTGTTCTCAGGTATTAAGAGACAAGATATGAGCACAATTCTGTTACAAAGAAGAGTGAAGAGGTTGACTGGAGTGACTCGGCTCTTTAAACAAGGAGGACCCTGAAAGAGTACACCAAGTTGGATCAAGAAACCTGGTTTCTAGTCCAGGCTAGTCAGTACATCTTTTCCTTCTTTTCCTCTTTTACAAGCAATGGCATTTTCATTCCTTCACAAGGGTTTAAGAGTCATGGAAGCACTCTGAAGACTGAGAATCAAGAAATCTAGATTCTGTGCCCAATTTAGGCACCTACTGGTGTGCGCCAGAGGGCACTTCACTTGTCTAAGTCAAGTCCTCTGTGAACTGAGGAACTCCCTCTGTAGTTCCAGGACTGTAATTTTATGCTATTAATTTGAATCCAAAATAATCAAGCTACCACAGATATTGTAAAAGAGAAAAAAAAAATTTTGTATATATGAAATTGCTTGGAAATGTGCTATGCTGGGGATGTGGCTCACTGATAGAGGCCCTGGGTTCGATCTGATGGGCTAGACAGAATCCATGAAAGCCACGCTGTACAATCAGCTTATCACACGCTTCATTTAGAAATTGGTGTCAAAGAATACATTCTGAAATGCCCTTTACATGTTTAGGTTCACATTAAAATAAGAATGACATTTTATAAGAACCAGAAAAATAGCAAAAGTATACACAGGACTAAGGGCAGAAATCTCCACCAAGAGCTATACTGTACTGGTAATTCAAATATGTGCTTCCTTTTGTTTTTAAACTTTTAAACAAGGCTGTACTTTGGAATCAAGTCAGTATCTTTTTTTTGTTTGTTTGTTAAATGCTCAAAGGTAATACAGATTCTTCAATTTGAAACAACAGTATTTCCCTGAGTCAGAACTTTTTTATTGCAAAATTTAACAAACCACCAAACTCAAGTTTAATTATTTCTGCTTTATTGTTGGTCATGAGTAAATTTAAATACGTCTTTAAAAGATAGTTACAAAGAGACTTCATCACTAAAATATAATCAGAAACCAAGCTACTTTGAAATCAGTAATTTTAAGGTGACAAAAAAAAAAAGCCCACAGTATACTTCAATCTTCAATAAAGGGCAACACAAGATTAAAACTGTTTTAACATACTGAGTGAGAAAAAATGCAGAAATCCCAAAGCTTCCAAAAAACAATAAAATGCACTTAATATATTTATCCCCACATGGTTATATTAAAAATTGAAGTATTCCAGTAAAAAAGTTTTGTTAATTTTCCAATAGTCAATAACTGGGAACACAAATTCAGGGAGATAAAAGTCACTACTATAAAGTAAAACGTCATCAAAATTTAGTGCACTGAAATTTAAAAGGCAGAGAAAAATAGTAATTTAATTTCGCCAAACAGTAATTACTTCCAAGAGACAAAAAAATCCAATCCAGATAAAAGAAATCTTTATTTTAATATTGTCTGTTACCTGATCCTAAAGAAAACATCCAGAATCGATTAGACACACTGGTCACTTTCTATGTCAAAGAAAAGTAGTCACACTATAATCTGTGGAGACGATGATTTATAAATTCAGGATGAAACTGGATGGCAGAGAAGCAGGTAGTTAGCTCATTCTCCACATTCCCACCCGTGCGTAGGCGTCTGCAGCCCCACACCACCCGCCAGTTGGACACGATCATCTCAGCCAGGAGACAGACCCGTGTGGAACAAAACCATCCCCAGGGTCCCACCGCTCTGCAGAACCCTAAAATACTTCCACTGCCCACAGAAGTTGGAACGAAGAGGAAGCGACTATTGAAACATCTAAAAACGAAACTTTCTCCGTTTAGAAAACAAAGTAGCCAGTCCTTTACAGTAAGAGTAACATTTATTTACAAGCGCTCTCCTTCCTCTTTAAGGCCTAACAGATTAGGTTAAACTAAACCACACCCCTTCATAAATGGCACATTCCATACAATAGCCGGGAGAAAGGCAAAGGGCGATCCCACCGGCCGCGGGGGAGGGGGCAGCAAACTTGCTGAAATTCTACGAATAAGGTCTGCCGGCTAACGGGGCCTAGCCCTGTAGGATTAAAGTCACGGGGGGAGGGGGACAGAAATATCCCGAGACGTGTGCGCCAGCTGGGGGAGGAACGAGAACCACACGGGATTTGGGTCGTGTCGTTAACCCGCACCTCCCTGACTCGCGGGGTGCGGAGGGCTCCCCGAGGAAGGCCACTTCCAGCGAGAAACGAGCGAACTTCGGGGTTAACGATCTCGAAAGGCGAGGTGGGAAGAGACCCCGGGCCGTTATCGTTCGGGGTCCCGTCTCAAACTCACTTCTGCCCCAAGGGGAAAGAACGGGTCCCGCCCACGCCGGGCCGAGGCCGGAGGCGGGGCTGCCCCTCCCCCTGTGCACGCGCACCCCGGGCCGCGGGAGAAAGAGGGCGCGGGGGAAGGGCCCCGGGCCTCCGCCCTCGCCGCCCGCTGCCGCCCTCCCGGGCGCCGATCCACGCCCTCCCCCCGGCCGCTCCAGTGCAGTGCGGCGCGGCGGGTGGGGGAGGCGGCGCGGCGCGGCGGGCGGGAGCGCGCGCACGGGCGCGTGGCCGCCACCCCCGCGCGCCAGCAGGGTCCCCCCCACGCTCAAGGGCGCGCGCGGACCCCCGAAGGAGGAGGCCGCGCGTGGCACCCGGGGGCCCGACTCTAGCCTTGGTCCCCACTCCTTCGCCTCTCACCCTCCACCCCCTCCACCCCGCTCCGGGCCTCCGACTCCGCACTGACCTGACAGGCCGAGACATGTTCGCTGTGGAAACAGGACCGAGTCCAGAAGCAAAGACCAGGACCCCCCCCACCCCGCGCGCTCGGCGCCCCACCCCCCCCGAACTTCGGCCGATGGGGCCGCTGTCGCCGAACCCCGAGCTGCTGGCTTCTCAAACTCCGCCACTCCACGGTTCTGGGCCCCGGGATCAGACGAGCCCCCCGCTCCCCCGTCTCTTCAAAATGGATGAATCAAACCAGCCGAAAATGCGCCAAAGCTGCGGTACAACCTAACCCGCTAGTGTTGGTGCGCTCCGCCCCTACCAGACCGGTCATTGGCGACTTGTGCCCGAAGCGCCCTGCTTATTAGTCCGTTTGAATCATCACGTCTTTCAGGTCCCGCCCTCTCCCTGATAGGCTCCGCCTCCTCCGTGGAGTCCTGTTAGTCACGGTGCTCTGAGAGCGCACGGCCGCAAAACAAAAATGGTCGCTGCTCAGCCCGCCCCCTGGTTTCCACTCCGGAGGTGCAGATTCGTCTTGGGTCGTATCGTGGGACCAGTAGAAAGAAAGACTTATATAGGGTGCAACGTCGTTCAGTGTTTGTGTTATAGCGTTTCATTTCGTCTGCCTTGATCACCTAGAAAATTCACCGGTAGCAGACCCTGTGGGATAGGCAGCAGATTCGTCACTGAGGGGCTGCTTCAGAATTGGAGGGAAATTCCTTTAGTTCAAAAAATTTGACCTTAAGCCCATAAGCCCCTTTACCCTGGCTTCAGGATTTACCGTCAGAGGCCAACCACACTGCTGCAGTAGTCTGGATCATAATCAAGAAATATCTTCACCCCCAATTTCCAGTCTCTATTCTGGACCTTGAGATCCACTTCAGGGTCATTAAAGTCCAGGTCTCACACATTACTATTTCAAAGAATATGAGGTATATAATAATTAGGAGAATGGGCTCTGGGGTCACAATGTGTACATTTGAAACTGCAAGTCCACTACTTAATAATTCTATACTTTTCCCTCACTCTGCGTCAGTTTCCCCATCTGTAAAATGGGACATAACTGTACCTACCTCATGGGATTAAGTGAATTAAATATAAAAGGTCTTTAGGACAGTTTCTGGCAAGCAGTACACACAAAGTATGTGGGTTATGTTCAGTTTCTGAAAGATGACCTCATCCCTGGGTAGAAGTGGATGGGACTGATTCAAGACTTTCAAATCATAGCTGGAGGCAAGTCACATCATTCCATTTAAATCTGCAGACATTTGTTGGATGCCTGAAATGCTCAGAGACAGAGCTCAGGAACCCTCCGGGAGCACGGAAACAGCTGAGACTTACTCCACCACTGTAATCCAACTTAGTCCTGGCCAGAGGCAAGTGTTAATAACCAAGGGAGAACAACAGTCCCCCCCAACAACTATGGACCTCCGAGTCTCACTTTGCAAAATCTGGCTTCTCTAAGTCCACCAGAGAAGCATTAAACCAGTTACTTCTTGGCCAGGCCACCCTTCCACACCACTTTTTAAAAAGTTTACCATTTTAAGTGTACAGTTGTTTGGCATTAAGTGCATTCGTGTTGTTTTGCAGCCATCAGAGTGTGCCTCTCCAGAACCTTTTCATCTTCTCCAACTGAAAGTCTGTACCCATTAAACACGAACTCCCACTCCCTCTCCAAACCCTTAGCCTCTGCAATTACTATTCCACTTTCTGTGTGTGCAAATTTCATTCCTCTGAATACCTCATATAAGTGGATCATATAGTATTTGGCCTTTTGTGATTGGCTTATTTCACATAGCATAATATCTTCCAGGTTCATCCATGTTGTAGGATGTGTTAAAATTTCCTTCCTTTTAAACAATATAAAAATTATTTTTTGAGACAGCGTCTCCCAGTGCAGCCCAGGCTGGCCTTGAACTAGGGATCCTCCTGCATCAGCCTGTGAGTGCTGGGCCTACAAGCATGCATCACCATACCCCGCAATAATTCATTATATGTGTGTACCACATTTTGTTTATTCATCCCTCAATGAATGTTTTGGTTGCTTCCAGCCTATGTCTATTCTGAATACTGCTGCTATGCACGTAATACTACACAATACAGATATCTGAGTCCCTGCTTTCGCTTCTTTTGGGTGTATTCTTAGGACTGGAATGGCTAAATCGTAAGATAATTCTGTTTAACTTTTGAGGATTTGCCACAAGGTATCCGACAGGAGCAGGACCATTCTACATGCCCATCAGCAATGCACAGGTGTTCCAATCCCTGGTCTCCTTGCCAGCACTCCGTTTGTTTTCTGGGTAACAGCCATCCTACCAGGTATTTAAAGTTTTACCCTAAGGGTCTTATCATTCCTATTATGGTCCAGAATGCCAGTGCTGAGACTGGGGTGGTGCCATGATCCCAGAATGGCTTTGTTGGAGGCTGTTTCATCAGAACTAATTGCTATTATTTTAGCAAATTACTATTATTTAGTATTATGAGATGAGGCGGAGGAATTCTGGTTACCCATTTATTAAGTACTGAACGGAACCAGCTAGAGTCAATGTGTGCAAGGAGGTGGGAAGTTCAGAGCAGGTCTTCCAGGCTTTGCCCTGTTAGCGAAGTTCAAGGCCAGTGTAGAGTTGGCCCCCGAATGAAGACTCCCCCTTCCAAGGTGAGTGTCACGGCCTACCTCTCTCTCTACCAAAGCATCAGGCAATATTTCCACTCACTGTTTCAACCAGCCCCATCCCTGAGGAAGAAAATAGGCTAAGATTTAAACTTCTGCTTTACATCTTAGTGGACAAGCTCAGAACTCTGTCTGCCACGGGCCAGGGAATGAGCTTCAAGGTCAGTTCCCTCCAAACAGCCTGCCGTGTGCTCCTGTCCCAACCACAGCTTCGAGGTTGGGAACTGAAGAAAGACACCAGTCATGGATCAGGTTTTAAAGCCGCATCTGATATCACCGAAGAGACACTATGTATAATAAATCTATGAGAAACTATGAAAACAAAAAAGGTGCAGGTGACAAAAAAGGTAGGGTTATTCCTTATTACTCAAAATGAAATCTAGAACCGGGTGTGGTGGCATTTGCCTATAGTTCCAGCTACTTGGGAGGCTGAGGCAGGAAAGTTATTGAGCCCAAGGGTTTGATTATTTTTTTGATACAAGGGATCGAACTCTGGACCTTGCGCTTGCAAGGCAGGTGCCGGAACCCCTGAGCTAAATCCCCACCTGAGCCCAAGAGTTTTCGATCAGGCCTGGGCAATAAAGTGAGACTGTCACACACACACACACACACACACACACACACACACCCCTAATGGTCTTTTAAGCCGAATGCTAATTTATCCTATGATTTTAGTTAAATTTTGAGAAGTAAACTTTTATTTTTCTCATGCATATATTAAAGACAGTAAGAGCTAGAAATATAGCTCAGCACCTCAGTCACACACACGACAGTAAGAACTGGCAGTGCTGGGATGAAGGACTGAAGGTCCTTCCATGTTCCCAAGGAGAAACTATGTCATCCAAAGGCCGTGCCATAGCAGCTAGGAGTTTTGTGGGGTTTTCCCCTCTGGTACTGGGGATAAATCCAGGGTCTTGCACCTGCTAGGCAAGTGCTGTGCCACTGAGCTCGGCTCCCAGCCATCATCTGGGAGCTTTATTTCAGAAGAGGTCAGCGTCTACTCTGCTAAGCACTTCCAGTTCTGTGAATGCATGGAAGTCAGTCCAGTCAAGCAGGTGTAAAGACAGACACGGACCCCTGCTTCTGCTGACCATGGGAGCAGAGCAAGCAGAGCAGGGGCTCTTTAAAGGCCCTGACAGAGCTGGGCGTAGTGGCACACGCCTGTGATCTCAGCATTCAGGAGGCTGAGGCAGGAGGATCGAAGCAAGTTCAAGGCCAACCTGAACTACATAGTGAGACCCTGTCTCAAAAAAAAAAAAAACAACAAAAAAAACAGGGCCAGGGATTTACCTCAGTGGTTCCTGCACCTGCCTTGCAAGCACAAGGTCCCGAGTTCGATCCCTGATACAAAAAAAAGCAAAAAAATTAAAAGCTCTGGAGACATAGCTTAGTGGTATGCATCCCCGGGCTCAATCCCCAGTACTTAAAAAAAAAAAAAAATCCTCTCATTATTTTAACATTTCTACCTCCAACCTGTGGCTCTCTCTGCCCTGCCACCACTTGAAAAAACAGGATGGGACAGAAGGACTTTATGGTCTTCACTCAGTCCCTCCACAACCAGGAGGCTCAGGAGTCTGTGAGGAGATGGCCCAGGGTACAGGATGTGCTGCTTTGTCTGCATTTTCTCAGAAGCTTACTTTTTTGCTCCAGACTTCATTACTCCTCTCTGCTTTGAAGAATATTAAGAGAAAAGATTAGGTGAATTTTTACTGTGAAAACAATAAAGACATACAAATTTGACTTTCTTTACTTTATTTTGTGATGCTGTGGGTTGAACCCAGAGCCTTTGCACTGAACTATAGCCCTGGCCTTTTAAAATTTTGAGACAGGGTTTCCTGAATTGTTAAATTGCCCAACCTGAGCTTGAACTTTCGTTCTTCCTGCCTCAGTCTTCCAGAGTGCTGGGATTAAAGGTGTGTGCCCAGCTTGATATTCATTTTATCACCTCCCCCAACCCACACAATGAGAAAGCTGTCATATTTTTCCTTTTTTATTGACATTCATTTTATTTTTAATCATTCATTATTATTATTATTTTGAGACAGGACCTCACTTTGTTACTCAGGCTGGCCTTAAACTCACTATGTAGCCCAGGCTGGCCTTGAACTTGTGGCAATCCTCCTGCCTCATCCTCCTGTGTGCTAGAATTACAGGCATGCGCCACCACACTTGGCTCTTTGCCCGTTTCTTCATTGGAGGGTTTTGTTTTGTTTTGTTTGCTATTTTGTATGAGCTCCTTATATATTTCGAACATTAACCCTTTATCGGATATACGGTTTGCAAACATTTTCATTTGATTATTTCCTTTGCTGTGAAGTATCACCTTCCTCTTAGTCACCTGAGCTCAAATCCTTTTGCTACTCATTCCACCTCCATTCCTCAGTGTTATTCTCCAACATGGAAACCTCTTGATTCCACCTTCATTGAATTTAATAAAAATTCACTTTTTTACCTTCTTAGTCCATTTTTTGTTGCTGTGACAAAATACCTAAGGCTGGACATTTTATAAAGAAAAGAAGGTTACTTAGCTTACCATTCTAAAGCTCTAGTATCTTGTCAGCTTCTGGCTGAGGGCCTTG